TTACTATTGGCGTATGTCTCCCCTTTATCGAGACCTCCAAAAGCAATGAATGTACAAAACACTATCACAAACATTACGGTAATTTCCGAGAGGTCCATGTGTGCCCCAATATACATAGTACACTTTATTGAATATACTGTATGCTCATAAAGACATCATTTGTACACCATGGCAATTATTATTCATATTTTAGCAGGCAACATTTAAGAAGCTGAGCAACAACAGTAGTAGACATTCAAAAATTCAAATGGGCGATTCAGTAGAAGTTGCACACACACACCCGTCAAATAATGTCAAATAAGTTAATGAAATATTGTAGTACAAGATCTTAGTAGTGGTTGTTTTTGTGAATGTCTTAAGTCATTTCACAGTTCAACAAACAAAGATCAACCATAACATTATGACCACATGACCGCCACTTTTTCATAGTCACTTTTTTATGTTCATCTTCATCAAATGCAGTGTTAGTGAAAATGTTCAAACTTGATTTCGATACTAAGGAACTTTTATATTACGTAGTTTTATATCTAATCCCTCAGTCGTCCAGGTAGGTTCCATAGTGGTCCATGGGCGTAAACTACTCTCTGTGGTCTTATACTTGTTCTGATAAAGCTCAAAATCACTCTAAAGCTATTCAGAAAAGGTTCATTTCCGTCCTGTAAATGTGAATTTTTAAAGTATAAATACCATTTAAAATTAGTCCATAGTTTCGATAATAGTCTTAATATCGATCAATAAGTATCTCACTTTCGATGCTTCTAACATGTCTACTTTTAACACATACAATACAATGTTAAAATGTGACTTTTCTCTATGAAGACAAGTCATATCTATGGAAACGAGAGCCGCTCCAAATGTGAATTATTTATGTTATTTTTGAGAGATATAAACATCTATAATTGATTAACAGTGTAATGTAAATATATAGGTTTAATTCCATACTTTGGAGCATTTCAACTATACACTTTCAGAAAAAAACTCATTATAAATAAATAATCCTCATTTGTCAGTGGTTATAATGTTATGGCTCATCCGTGTAAGCAGCTTTGAATATTGCACAACATGGTAGGATTCAGTTGTATGGTAAAAAGTAAAGGATAAACCATGTCAGCAGTGTGGACTTTACCGCAAGAGCCTCTATTCCCTTTTTTACACTATTTAACAATACACATAAATTAATCAATATGTATTACAGAAAATCTGAAGGGACAATATGCAGGATTTTTCAACACAGAAACTTAACATGACATGACCTTTTCATATCAGCTCTAAATAAATTATAAGCAAAACTCCCAAAGACTCAGCTGAAAATTCCAAAAACAAATTAAAGTAAAACAATTTGGTAATATTGGAATTTTCCACAGTATGGCATTAAACTTTAAACATTAATCTGTCTCCATGGGCACAAATTGGTGATGGCACCGGTTACAGTTACATGTCAGATCTGTGCAGAGGCAAGCCCACTTACAGTAAGAATGCAAGTTTTTCAAAGAATATGTATTAAAATAGATAAATGTAATGCCTTACTGTGGAACATATCGTGCACAAACATCCCCATAGGGACCACCAGAAAAGTTACATAGTGAATCTTTTAGAGGAGTTTTGCAGTTCTGGAGTTTTGATTTGAATTTTGATCTGTAATAATATTAATGTTATAAGTATAAATGTATGTTTGTTTTTATTTTTTACATTTTTTTTTTTTTTTTTTACAGTCATTGCATTTTATTTACAAAATAAACACAAACACCGTATAATACTGGAAAAATGACTTCAAATCCTGCATGTTCTCCCCTCTCCTTTACCACCAGTGCCACAAAGTCGTTGCAACACTGCCCTCTGGTGGTCGGTAAATATACAGCACAGACACGTTCATAGGATTTCCCTTTCTTTCAGACAATAACAGCTTTGAGACATGGTCGTTTCTCACTGAGCCCTTTAGCTCAGAGTCACGGCTGGTGATAGTAGCACAAAAGCAGCAGCAGTAGCTTTAGCTTAGCATACAAACTTGTGTTTTTATCATTTCTCAGTGAATGAAAATACCTTTTATACCCGCTCCAGTCTTTGTTTTTGTTTTTGTTTTTTTTGGTCCAAATAAGCCAAGTAGATTCATTAACAGTTAAGTGCAAAAGAAGGTTAACTCTGGCCCATTACTGACCATTTCTGAAACTAACAAAGCGAAAAATATGAATATAACTCTTGCACAATTCTGTAAATATCATTACCTTTTTGGCAACTTTGAACACTTTAGAACACATAGTCGGCAATAAGACTATAGGGCTTATGGCAATATAGATGTATGGCACTTTGACAGAATGTATCGATGCAATGAATTCACATATAAATATTCAGATTAACATTAAAAGATATGTACATCGAGTCACTTCACGAGTTTTGCAGAAAATAAACACTACATTCTTGGATCATCAGCGCAAAAGTTAGTAAGACTTTTGCTCACTTATTAGTCGTGGTTAGGGCCAGACACTACAGGCAAAAGTTTACAACTAATTTGAATACCTGCAAGCACCAGAATGTACTTTACCATATACTACTATCTGTCAATCAGTATAAAAAGTCTAGCAGGAAAAACTGAAAAATTAAATGTATAGTGGACAAAAAAAATCCAGTGGTTTTGTTCTGTTAAAATGTCTAACGGTATTACTCAAGTAAAAGCACAGTTACATGGCAAATACTGTACTCAATCAAGTACGATTACAGCGCCCAAATGTGTACTTGAGTAAAAAGTACACATGAAAAATATTCAAAGTACTAATTAGTAATTTCAAACTGCAACAGGCATGTTCTCTGAGTCCTGGCCAAGTAACTGGTGACCTAAATAACTAGTATACTGATCATTTTTAGCTGCAATGGATGAAATGGGGTGTTTAAGCAAGTCCCAAACCTTAAGGAGAGCAATCCAATATGCCAAGAATTAAAAAGCAAATTTGACTAGAACTTCGACGAAACCTAAAACTTAAAAACAGTGAATATTAGTCTCCCAAATCTACCATTTTGACCTGTAGTGTCTGTACCTGCCCCTTCAGCTTCACAGATAAAGAACACAGACATAATAAAAGGTCAAATGAACACTTTGCGATTGTCAAAAGCTGAAACATTAAAGCTCTTTGTGTCCACTTCTTTTGGAGCCTTAATGTTTGTCACTTAAACTGCACTGGTCAAAATCAACTATCAATCAACTCTATGCAACAATAATGTAGATACAGCACTGCCGCTGAACAACCCAAATACAAAATGGTGGTTCAAATGTGAATAAAAGTACAATTTGATGGTTTGAAAAGCTCATAACTGTTTCTTTTTCATGCAGTAGTACAGACCAATTGTAAAACATTCATTCTTGTAATAGTATCTATATCTTAGTTACAAGTTAATAACATTTAACATTAAAATTTTTAGCTTTTACTCCCACCAAATCTATGTTAATATATATTTTTCATGTCATACATTCTTACTTCAATGTTAATAATATGGATAGCTTCATTTAATTTGCTATAAAACATAATTGTCTAACTTGTTCCAACGGACAATGTGCTTTTATCACCCATGAAATGTATACGTTTATTTACATTTCACACACTGTCCCATCTTTTTTGTAATTTGGGTTATAGAAAAAGCATATTGCAAGTAACTCATAATGACAAAAACTTGAAACTGAAATACACCACGGTAATACTTATGTACATTCTTCAAAGGAAATGGCGTAATTATGTAGATTTAATGTTTGTTGATTGGAAACTAAAATTACGAGATTGTGACAGACTAGGCACTTTGGATTATGAGTGTAACATGAGACAATTTATAACTTCATATTTCTGCATTTTCCAAAATTGTGGCACTCTTTTGAAATCAAATGACTGATTTTGAGGATTTTAACAATGTAAAAATCTACTTCTGTACTTTATATTGGCACTAAGTTCTCAAAAATACTGATTTTCTTTTTGTACAAATAAATATTTCAAATGCGGGCAGGATTTTCTGGCTCCTTAAATTATATGAGATCTACAGATTTGGACTCCAGTTTCCTTTTGTCGTTGAAAAGGTTGTTTACAATGCTGTTATGTAAAAATCATAAATTAACCATACATTAGCTGAACTAGACACAAAAATCACTATTTACAAAGTTGTATTTTTGATAGATTTTTTTTGACATACTCTGTACTCGCGGCTGATTGTAAAAAAGATCAAATTCGAAATCAGATGTGAGCATTTTGTACACGCGAAAAAGGCGAAATGTTTGGTTGAAAATTCACTTTGGACTATCACTACAGAAAGATCCAGTCTGGCAAAACCTGCATGGCACTTGAAGCACACGATATTTTTACACACATCAAGAGCCAACATGACCCCAAATGTTTTTGAATTTTAGCAGCAATTTCGCCACGTAAAATTCGTTATAGCAAAGAAATTTCAAAGTTTGTAAAATTTGGCAGTTGTCACAAAATCGAAGTGCTTGTTTTGTTTAACCTGTTTAGGAGCGGACAACACAACTAGAAGTATGCAGAGGTGGGAAGTTCATATTTAAGTACTACTGTAAACAGAATTGTACTAGGCCTAATTATTGTATTTAAAAGAACATAAAAAAAAAAATCGAGTTATTTTTGAGGATAAGTTCATTTTACAATTTATACTAATCTTGGCCCTTTGACTTCTATATTACAACTTTGAAGTAATAGCGTGTTTTCTTGACTGTAGTTGACAAAAGTATGGATTTATTTAGCATTTTCAGATTTAAATGTTAAGTTTTATTTGAAAATTTAACTTAAGTAATACTTCTATTATTATATTGAGGTAAACTTTGGCAGTCCTCCACCTCTGCTCAAACGAAATGCTCAGGTAGTTGTGCGTCTATTAAAAGTGCAAGTGATTGTAACATCCCATATTCAAATTAAACATAAATAAAGTTTGTGAATGTAGGGGCCGTGTTTAGGTTGTCGATTTCGGGCGTGGTTGGCATAGCGACAGAGAGCGTCACCCTCAGACAGCGCTCAGGTCGGCAGGCTCATGTTGGCGTTCTCGGCCAGGGGGCTGGACATGCGGATCTGGGAGCTGCTCTTGCTCAGGATGGACAGCTGGGTGCCCCCGTTGACTCCGCTGCTCGCCAACGATGGGTGCCTCTGCTGCTTCAGGTCCACAGCAAAGTACCGGTTCACCGTCCAGCTGCGCCATTTCCTCTTGATCTCCGACTGCACCTTCAGGCAGAAACTTCACAACGTCATTTTAATGTACCACAGGCTGCAGGCATGGCCCCACGGACAACAACCACGCACAACAACACAACAGCATCACTTTGAAACTAACTTTTTGCCACTGAGGTAAAAACTTTTGAGATTTACTTTAATATTTCAAGATATTTATGGGTTTCAACTTTCTGTTATCTGCAACTTTTTGAGGCCTTTTTGGCATTGTAATATTATAATATGTATTTTGTAGGGGTGTAACGATATCCAAGTCTCACGATACGATATCGTCATGGTATGAAGAACATGGTATGATATTTATTGCAATATCATTAGAAAGCTCATGATATGGTGGGGAGGCTCACAATTAGGAATATAACAATATCCAAATCTCTCAATACGATATTTTCATGATATACATCTCATGGTACGATATTTATTGCAATATTTTGTTGAGGCTAACAAAACTGTTAATATGCTACTTTTTCCTGTTAAAATGCCTTGACAAGACTTAATCCAAAGAACTAAGACTTTAAAATGCTTAGAACTGTTATTTCTTCTTGTAGTCTGCACTGAAATGGAGCAAAGGATCATGGTCTGTGTAGTTCCCTCTGTCTTTTTTAGCTATTGCTGCACCACAACTCTTAATTTAAGCAAAAACACTTGTAATTCGATATATTGTAATGGTCCATGATATTATTGTTAGAACTTTGATGACATGATATCACAGTATTTCGGTTATTGTTACATCCCTAGTATTTTGTGGCACATATTATGGCAATGGTTCTCTTTTTTTCTTTATTCTGAAACCCATGGATATTAAAACACAGTCAAGACAAGGCAAGACAACAAGTTATAAAAATTATGTCATATAGTAAATAGATCTCACCTAATCACAAAAATACAGCTTTTTCATCAACTGTAATAAATGTACTTTGAGCTACCAACAACTGGTAAAGTTGATGAAAATGCTGTATTTTGCCAATCGTTGGTGTAAACCATGATATTTTCTTCATCTTGTAGAAACATGAATAAATGTAAATATAGCTCAAAGAATGTTTATTACACTACACTACTGAAATAAATTTAATAATAATTTCTTTTAAATCTGAAACAATTCCAAGTATTCCGTAGCTTTCTCTATGAACACAATTTGTCACAATTCCCACTCAAATAAGGTAATAATTAGCAAAAGCAATCGAAATGCATTTAATATTTTATGTACAGGAAATGTGTTCAGTAAAGTAAGGAATAAACATTTTCAAAATAATCATAAATTGTTAGTTGTCATCCTTTCTTAGCTTTGTTATCATACCACTGACAAGCTTAATATGGTGTTCATAATGTTTAGGTGTAAAGAGGCTATTCTTACCTCTCCGTTCAGGAAACAGTAAAGCACAGCAACAACAAAGCCCTGAGGAGAGAGGACAAAAGGTGGATATGTGGATATGAAAGCATAAAAACATATTTTTATTATAGACAAAGTTCATTGCAAATCATTTTCTTGTCCATTGTTTATGCTTTATTTGACCCTCGACCAAGACATTTAAAGGACCCATATTACTATTTTTAGATCTATGTTATAATGTTTCCTCATCGCAAACATATGTGGAGTTGTGTTTTGCTTCTCTTTCTCTCAACAGAAAACATTCTGCTCCAACTTGTGATTTCATTTGGTAAAACAGAAAGTGCTCCACTTTTTTTTTTAAACTTCATACACCTTTACTAGAATCATTTAATTATCCAAAGGAAAAAAGTAGTGGTTAACTTGAAAACCACATGATGACATCACAAAAAGGAAAAGAGCAATGAGCTTTTGACAGATTTATATTAGAGGATTATTCAAACAAGTGTGAATGAAACAAAACACAGCTCCAGGTACGTTTTTGATGAGGTAATATATTTCTGATTGCTTATAGTCACTGGGATGATCCAGAATATATTTTCAGTTTTGCCCACTCCACACATGATTCATGCTCATGCTCTCTCTGTTCTATCAGCTGTGTTGCATTTCACTGTGTCTTCATGTACCTGGAACGATCCCAGTCCGAGCTCAAACACCAGTCTCTCTCTCTTGCTCACGTCTTCAGGGGAGAAGGCAAACACAGTGTAGTGGATCCCAAACAGAGGGATGAGCAGCAGCGTAGAGCGGGCCAGGCGCCTACAACACACACATGCACACACACAGACGTTAGTTTAAACTCAATCAGATCCACTCTCATGGCGGCCATCTTGTTTAGCAGTAACTGTTGCAAACTGGCCTCTGATGCAACACGGTGACACATCCAACATCTGTGTGATTGGCATTGCCTAGCAACACATGTCAATTACTGCCAACAAGGCTGTGATTCTAGCTTGTATTGGTTATTTCTGTATCTGTGTAATTATAAAAACAAGAATTTTTAGAATGGTTATGCAAGAAATAAATGCACTGTACTTTATTTCAATAGCCTCGTCAATACCCTTTAATTTATGCTGTGCACTAAACATGTCGACAATCACCAGAGAATTGTTAGGGAAACCTGCTTCTGTCCCATCAGACATCAGACACATCATGGGAAAAGAAATGCTCTCCCAGACTGTTTGATTCTTCATTAACAAGAGATTGACGAGAACATGTGGGAAAAACTGCACGACTCATGGTTCAAAATCAAGTATAGGACATTTACATAATTACTATTACTCAAGTGTGTAGATTGGTTTAGTTATATTTAATACTCCTCGATTATATTACCCAAATGTGCATGTTTCCTTGATGAACTGCGTAAGAATATTGTATCTGAGTCACATTCTTGTTTTGTGTTACAGTGCATTTATTATAACCACCAGTCTAAAGATTTTTGACTACGTCAAACCAGATGACACCAAACCAGTACAAACATGTAGTGAAAGCAGACTTTTCAGAGGCTTAAAAAAGTGAATGGACACACAGAACAAAAGACATAGACACGACACACACACACACACACACACACGCACACACACAAAACTGTGTAACACTGATGCAGTTCAGTAAAACCCACGGCTCTTTAATACGAAACTGTATCTCTCCATTAGAGATCAATACTCTTAACACGTCTATCACTGCTTTGTCAAGAATAATACTAATGACTTGTGCCAATTAGAATTGTGTGATAGATTATTATTATTATTATTATTATTATTATTATTATTATATTTTTGTTACAATTTTGTAATCAAACTTTAGCCACCTAAACTGAGCTATTAGTTCTATTGAATAGGTTTGAAGTAACAAGTGAAGTTTGAACCTGCATAGACAAGAGGCCGTGGGCGAAGTGGCCACACAGACACGAGCACACACACACTTACAGTGTGACGGCGGATAACTCTGACATCCTGCACGAGTGCTGCACTGCCTGAGGCTCACTGAAGCATTTCTGAGCACAGCTGCTACACAGCACAAAGACACACAATACACAGGACACATCTTTAACACACACAGCCCTCTGCATGGGGACCAGCAGGGGGTGCTGTGAGGGGACAGGGGGGCTGTGAGGTGTAAGTGATTGGGACAAATAGGAGACATCATAATAACTATGCAGGCACATCAGCCCTTCTCATCTGACTATTCTTCTAAGTATTTTTTTTTTTTTTTTTTTTTTGCAGAAGCTGATGCAAGTCAAACACAAGTCTATCCAGAGACGTGTAAACAACACGACCTGAGGTGTCCTTGGTTTGAGTGTGTCACAAAGTGTTAGTTCTTCCTCTTAAAAGCATAAGAACAAGACCAAACCAAAAGACACACTTTGTGTTTGTACCAAACCCAGAGAAACAGGGAGGGCTGTGTCATATATATAAAATAAGGCCGGTTTCTCTACTAAATGGACATAATAGCCTGTTTTGTCATCCATTAAGGGATTAAAACTTTTATAATAACAATGTACAATCTTTTAGTGTTTGCGCTGTAGGAACTAATCACTCTTCCAGGTCATTTAGACACAAACTGGGGAAACTGTGGCGATGGTTTTGGGATGTTTTGAATTCCTAATTGTCTTGCATAATGCACTAAAGCAGAGGGGCTGAACAGAATATGACATAAACCATAATATTAAAACAATCAGTTATTTGAAATACTGACTTGAGACAGAGAATAGACAGGACAAACACAAAGTTAGACTGTGGTCCTGTGACTTACAGGTAAATGCTTGACTCATTCCCTCCAATGTCAGGAGACTGCAGCTTTTGAACCAGGATGATGATAATCCCAATGAAGAGTACAAAATTAATCTGGAAAATACACAAAATATTTATTCATTAGCTGTCAGATATCTGCCATGAACGTAATTATATGTCGGCGCTTGTGTAGTACCATAATAGAAGCCACAACAGGTCCTTTGATCACCCACCAGAGGGCAGTGTGCTCATTCGTATCCCAACATCTAGTGAGAAGCCATGTATTACTTTCCATCAATGACAACAGCTTTTACAATATATTTTATTTTATGATAGATTTGAGACTTACCCATAATCATGGAAGTGGAGCCGCAGCACAGCCCACACAGTCACACAGATGGTGGGGGTCCCTGTAACAAAAGAATAGTTGTTCTTAATCAAATAAAAATGTGCAACAGATGTGATGTGAGAAAACATTTGTATTTATCAAAATGTCTGTAATTTGTCTAAGAATCAACCAAGGCCATCTGCTTTGTATTCATCTATGACCCGTGAGATAACATGTGATGACTGATGCACAGTTCAAGATAAAGTGTCTGAACACATTTCAAATTGATAATAGATTAATTAGACTAAATCATTTAAATATGTAACTATTTGCATACTAAGGACTCACCCCATCCCACGATGGTGTACCAGTAAAAGTAGCGCCTCTCAGGGAAGAAGGTCTCCACCAGCAGAGTGAACAGGTACAGGCCCTCTATGAAGAGCCAGAAGTAGTTGGACATGACGCAGTAATGAAAGAAAACCATCACAGCTTTGCACGCCACCTGCAAAAAAGGATAAGACAAAACAAGTCATTTTTATGTGTAAAATATTTATTATGTCAAATATGTGTGGACGCAAGATAAAACAGGTGGCTGCAGTCCGTAAATACAGGACAATGCAGCAGGGTCACTGTTGTAAAATGTCAGAGCTGTAAATGTCACGACATGTAACATGTGCCCTAATGCTGGGAACCACAGAGCAAACAGACTGGAGCCACACAAGGACAGGGTCATGTGACCGTTGGACACAGTTATCACCAACACATATTATGAACGTCCTATCACCTTATGATGGGTAGTGACGCCACAGCAAAACACTGGGATCAACCAATCACAGCCCTGATCTGAGATGTGTCCCGCCCATATCACATTGATGTGCTGTCAATGTTTAGTTAAAGGGTCACAATGAGCATTGATATGCTAATAGCCCTGGGAGAAGGCTTCAACTGGCCTTGCTAAATTCATTAGCATAGCTAATTAGCTTTATTTATCATGGCTGCTTAACAACAGTGAGCGATGCGCTGTTACAGACAAAGGCTAAGAGCTTGTTTTGCATTCATAATCAAGGAGTATTAGTCATCTAACAGTGTTTCTGCATTGTGTGAAAAATTACATGTGACTGAAGTTCATTCAAAGGTAGATCTGAAACAAGCAGAACTCAGGACAAGTGTGTGCCCCTGACACCTCATGAGTCTCACTGAGCAGAGTGCATCCATTTTACAGTCACGCCTACTCTCTCAGAATTAGCCGTTTCAATTCAGTTCAAACCTCTGATACATTTTATTAACACCCAAGCTCTTGACCAATGGCTCACAAAATATTATGTACTGGACGTTCCTTTGCACATTCAAATGACATTATTATATTCTGACATTACTTGTTGAAAATGTAATTACAAGTATGTAGTGTTCATGTTAACTGTGGTCTATACTTACAGTGCTGGTGAAGCAGTGGTCGCTGTCCTCCTGTGCATACAACACTCCATCCTTTATAAACACAGAGATAGCCCTCAAGATGAACGACACAAACAGGTTCATGTGGATGAAGTTTCTGGTGCAGTGGAGTTTCCTGCATCATAAAACACAGATCAGTCATTATGGATCATTTCAACAAATCATTTAAAGTTTCACTATGTCATTTTCTGATGGAGGACCCGCTAAAATACCCTACTGGAAAAGTTACATAGTGCAACTTTAAAGATAAAGAAATACCTGTGCTAAGTGAGCAGCTCTGACTTTTGGTCATGCAATTGACATTTCTCACCTGAACCTGCAGAGAATCACCATAGCAGTGGTCAGAGAAACCAGCGAGGTGCTGTAGCCCACAGTGTACAGTGCTTTAACAGAGGCATAGTACATGTCCTGTACGAGGTGAAACCAACATTAAACATGGTCATAACATCTTAAATATAAAGGAGAGGTAATAAAATGTTCTTACTGGTTTGGTGCTGTTGTCATAAAAGAAGCAGACGTCCACATAATGAGGATAAGGCTCAGACCAGCCATCCTCTGTGCAGTTACGACTCACTTTTCCCATTTCTAACAAAGACACAGAAAGCAAAAATGTACTCTAACCACCTTAAAGACTATGATGGTATATATTCAGAGACGGGTGGTACTCAGTGAAATTTATTTAGCTACATTTGACATTACATTATATTTGAGTAACTTTTTCATAAAATTGTTCTCACCATACTATTATACACCCACTTGAGTGATATATTTTGGTGTGTAACTGTATTCTTACTTTGAAAATGTTTTGTTTACTCTTCTCTCTGTGAATAAGTGTACCAGTGACAAAATTATTAAAACACAAAATCATTTAAACATTTGTGTTTCTTGCACTGTTCCTTCAGATACGATTTCCATGTTTGTGGTTTAGCCTTTTACATTACATTAACTTCATGTCCAGACACTTAATCTTACATACAAGTGAGTAAATTTTTGGCTCCTCTACCCTCCTCTGCATGTACTGTATGATATGTATTTGCTGAGAGTACTCTGACGCACCATCTTCTGGGCTCATGAAGTCGTGAAAGAGTTCGGGACAGTTGACCACCACCACCTCTCCGACGGTTGCAGCCTGCCAACAGGTCAGATTGTCCCACATCCACGGACACGCTGAGGGAGAGACAGGACAGGTCAGACATAGTATAAGGATATCTTTTTTGGAAAATGATGTGTCTATGTTAAACAATTTTTATGGGTACTCAAACTTAGAGCACGGCTGAAAAAACAAATCAGATTTATTGTGACAATTTCCTGTTGTTCTTTCAAAGAGACCATTTTGAACATATGTCTGGAGGGACAAGCAGAGCTGATCAGGGCCCAAACCTGCTTAGTATCAGGGAAAAAAAACAAAAGAAAAAAACCCCACTATGTATAAAAAAATTCACTATATATACAGTATTTTTAAGTACTACCCAGTCTGTGTTAGGAATATACTAAAATTCATCTCATTTTACGTGGAAAATAGCACTAGCAAAACTGCATTTTTCACCCAGGCCGACTTTGGTACATTTTTAAAAGAAATATTATGGAAATTGTTCAAATATAACAAAAAGCACCATACTGAACCATTTAAATAGACTTTTAAGAAACAAAATAAAAGGCTTCTAAAACAATTTCTGTTTAATACATATATTATTTTTTCCAATAGAGAGTACACTTGACATCAGTTTCATCCTCTTAAGTTAATGATCTTTAGTGTATATTCTCTCTTACTAGGAACTCGCTTCACTAGGGATGTAACAATAACTGAAATATCGTGATATTGCATAGTTAAAAGTCTCACAATAATACCAAGAGCGGTGACAATATATCAAATTACACGTTCCTTTGGTTAAATGCATTGTTTTATAGTAGCAACAGCTAAAAAAAAACATAAGGAACTACATATCCCATGATTCACTTCAGCGCAGACAACAAGAAGAAATATATTTTTTACTTTAATTCTTGGAGTTTTGGGATTATGACAGTAATGATTTGCATCTAAGTCTTGCCAATGTATTTTTAATGCAAAAAGTATCCTGTCTACAACTATATTAACCACTCCAAAATATCACAATAAATATCGTAACGTGAAATGAATATCGTGATAATATCGTACCGTGAGATTTGGATATCATTACATCCCTGCTATTCACATGAGGAATTCACTAAGCAATTTTCCATAACAAGATCATGTGTGAACAAAACCAGATCTGATTTCCCTGCATTTTCGATCTGGCAATTTCCTTGGTGAATTGCAAGGAAAGCTTATGTGTGAATAAAGCCAGCACCTCCGCTTGCTTTCATGGTTCCTCTACTGCGATTCAGTTTAATGATGCAGTAGTGAGTTGCTATGGGAGGGAGAGCAAAGAACCAAATGCCAGGTTATGTGTGAACAGAGCAGACCTGACAATGTTGTGGGACTGGTACATGTATGAGTGGGGGTCACTGCTGAGTGTTCTGATATTTTGTATGCAGCAATACTGGGAACAGTGTTTGAATGGGGCTTATGAATCTGCTCATGTGGGCTGAGTAGAGAACACATGAATCTGTGTATCATTCGTTTTTCAATATAAAACCGAAAATAAGAAAACAAAACAAAACAAAAAAACTAAACTAAACAAAAAACAAAAAAAAAAATGTTTTCTTCATTATTTGTATCCAAAACTAAAATGAAAAAACAGATAATGATTTGTTTTTTTCAGTTTTCGATTTGTGTTTAAATGAATAATGGAAAAAATGGATAACGACCGTTGAGTCCTGGTCTGGTTCTGGTCTCAATCACGGTCTGGTCCTGGTCTGGTCCCGGTTTCAGTCCCGGTCTCAATCCCGGTCCTGGTCTGGTCCCAGACTCAGTCCCGGTCTCAGTCCTGGTCCTGGTCCCGGTCTGGTCCCAGACTCAGTCCCGGTCTCAGTCCTGGTCCTGGTCCCGGTCTGGTCCCAGACTCAGTCCCGGTCTCAGTCCTGGTCCTGGTCCCGGTCTGGTCCCAGACTCAGTCCCGGTCTCAGTCCTGGTCCTGGTCCCGGTCTGGTCCCAGACTCAGTCCTGGTCTCAGTCCTGGTCTGGTCCCAGTCTAAGTCCTGGTCTGGTTCTGGTCTGGTCCCGGACTTGGTTCAGTCCTGGTTCAGTCTGTATGCGTCGCAGTTTAAGTCACATAAACGGGAAACGGCCGTTATCCTTTTTTTTTTTTTTTTCCATTATTCATTTAAACACAAAATCAAAAACTGAAAAAATAAAAAAAATCATTATTTGTTTTTTCATTTTGGTTTTGGAGACAAATAATGAAGAAAACTGTTTTTTTGTTTTTTTTCGTATTTTTTATTTTATATTGAAAAATTAATGAACGACGATACACAGATTTGCATGTCTTCCTTGTTTTGTTTTTTGAATGATTGAATTTATTATTAAAAATAAAATCCTTACATTATTTTCGTCACCAGCAATCTGCATTAAAAGGTTAACCAGAAAAGGGACATTAACAAACACTGTTGCTATTGGTTACACAAAACTGCAAAAATTATTGTCAAGGGTAAAATTAGAGTTAATATTTAGTTTATTTGTGATTAAGCGCCCAGCCCAGGGACATTTGAGTTTTAAATGATTCTGGCCTAGTTACTGCTGCTTTGATGTGGCTGTTGTGCACCAGGCTTAAATGATATCCTATGCAGCGCCATGGCAACCAGCGCACAATGTAAATCAGTAAAATCCATTTCTGTGTCAATCTACACTGTGGGAGACTTCAGCCTGTATCTGCTCCATCTAACACTGCACTGAAAAAAAAAAAAAGTTAAAAAAATCTCCTGACAATTTGTACACACAGTTAGAGAATTCAGTTGTTATCCACTCATTAACAATTACAGTATTCCTTTTCCCAGTTAATTTATATTGAAGACCGCAGTCTATAAATGGAAACATTTCCTGTTTTATCTGGCCTATTTATATACTGAGGTTCACAACCATCCAAGACAAAATCTCTTTCCTCTTTCAACTTTCATCTCTGTTTCTGCCATGGCTTTTATGCTGAACGGTTTAGTAAAATTTCCTATATATTCCTATATCCAATATTATGTCCTATATTATGAGTAACTGACTCTCGTGAGCTTTAAGCTATGTTATAATATTGTTATCTCCTCAAAAACATACCTGGAGTTATGTTTTGTTTCACTCACATTTGTTTGTATAAATCTGCATCATTAAGCAGTAGTGATGTAACGATAACTGAAATATCGTGCTATTGTATTGTCAAAAGTCTCACAATAATACTGTGGGCTGTCACAATATATCAAATTACAAAATCCTTTCCTTAAATGCATGGTTTGATGGTACCAATAGCTAATAAACATAGGGAACTACATATTCCAGTGACCAAAGTGCAGACAACATTAAGAAATATGTTTTTACCCGAATTCTTGGGATTATGACGGTAATAATTCACATGAAAATCTTGTCAAGGTATTTTAAAAGGAAAAAGTGTCCTATCTACAATTATATCTGCCTCTCCAAAATATCACAATAAATATCGTATTGTGAGATGCATATCGTGATAATATCGTATCGAGATATTTGGATATCGTTATATCCCTATTAAGCCGTCTACATTTTCAAAGCTCAAAGTGCTCTGTTCCACCTTGTGATGTCATGAAGTGGTGTATTTTATTTGATTTAGTTCAGTAGAGACTGACAATGCCACTGATAAAATTGTCCAAATGATTCTAATGAAGGTGTGAGATGTTTAAAAACACAGTGGAGCACTTCCTGTATTACCAAATGACATCACAAGGTGGAAGGGAGTGTTTTCTGTTTGAGAGAAGAACGTAACCTTAAACTTAACCCTGTAAATATGCAAATGTGTTAAAGATGTGTGAATGAAACAAAACAACTCCAGGTATGTTTTTTATGTGGAAACATTATAACATAGATCAGAAAATAGCACAATATGGGACCTTTAATACGGGCAAAGTTAGGATCCATCCTTCTGATACTGAAGTGCACCAGAGCCATTTTCCCTTCTGCGTTAATTTTCTGATTAAACTAGTTCTCAGTGTAATAGGTACAATTATAGTCAGAGAAGAGAAAGTTATTGTCTGTGTATATAATGTGATCCAAGTCATTAGGGTTCCTAGAGGAGGCATTGTTCGGCTCCAACTTTTGTTCTGTGATCATAATGTCTGTCTGAGAGGAGTTGAGTTATTTCAGGTAAATGAGCCGTAATTACTGTTTGTGTTTAGTAGGCGAGTTACCTTATATAGTCTTTAGCAGATCATGTGTATTAGTCTAGTTCCTCCAGGTTTTTTCATGATCAAAACCTCCTCTAGCGTTACTTTTAACTTTAAATATATTGCAGCTGGCTGTGCATGTGCTTAAATTGTTGTTTTCTGTATTTTTTGTTTTTTCATAGCCTGTGCTTTTCATGCAATTTCAGTGTTGGCTTTTGTTAGATGCTCATTCATAATTAAGTTGGGTCCCTTAAAAGTCCTATATTACACAAAATTGACTCTTGTGAGCTTTCTGTCATGGCATAATGCTTTTAAATCCTCAAAAACATACCTGGAGTTGTGTTTTGTTTCATTCACACATGTTTGAGTAATCCTCCTTTATTAGGCTGTCTGAATCTCCAAAGCTCAGAATAGAAAACCTTTTACCTTTTGTTTAGTAAAGATGGACAATTCAAGGACTGAAATCATGGAGTTTAAAAACACAGTGGAGCAATCCATGTATTATCACATGAAATCACAAGGTTTTCATGTGAAGCCTAAATATGCAGGATTTGTGTGTTAAACATGTGAATGAAACAAAACAAAACTCCATGTATGTTTGTGAGGAAACAACATTACAACATGGATGATAAACTAGTGTAATATGGGCCCTTTAAACTTTCTGTCTTGTTTCAGGAAGGTGACTTTATGTTTTCGGTTGCCATATCTCATCATTATAGTTTGTTTGTCTGTTATCTTTCTTTTGGACAATAAGTGCCAGTCCATAGAAGTGCTGTTCCAAATTGGCTCTGTTCACGCTTACGTCACAAACCAGGAAGACATTGGGAAAGATGCAATTACAACTTCCCAAGCCCAGTTTTCTTCATCTAAATGTCATTGTAGTGTTCTGTTATGTTCGCCTAATCAACAATTAC